ATTTGTCTATGATCATGTCTCTGATCATTGTTTTTGTAACTTAGTTAAATTCTGCAAGACAGCTTGCAGGTAGTCTTCATAGTCTCAGACTGCACAAGACTATAATGAATAATAATAATAATAATAATTTATCAGAATCTCAGAATCAATATCTAAGATTCAAGATAACTTCATTCTTTTTCAATCTCAGATTACAATTCTAATTCTTCTTTGCAAGACACTAACATATCTTAAGACAAAGTCAAATTTCAACTGCAGAAGAACTGGAAGAAACTGTTATGATATGTAAGTAAAAAGTCTTCTTCTTTGCTAGAAAATCAACAAATCTCGTATGATTATTCTAACTATAAAAAAGCAATTTTAACCATCACTAGCTGATGGATGCATAAATCAGTGACTGGGAGAGTCTATGTCTTTGAGACAAATAAGAAAGAGAGAAGAGTTGTTTTGTTTAAGTTGTGATTGAATTTATCTTTGCTGATCCCAACTGGCAAATGGTTTTGACTTTTTGGAAGTGAAAATCAGGGCTGAAGAAAATTGATGGAATATCAGGGAGGTTGAGAATTGATCAGAGAATCAAAGACATCAAACTGAATTTAAAAAGATCTTGTTCTGACTGAGTTGCAATTGAATTTGCTGTTGGTGATCTTAAGTGACAATTGGTTTTGACTTTTTGGAGATGGATATCAGGGCTGGAGAAAATTGATAGAATATCAGAATAATAGAGAATTGATCAGAGAATCAGAAATATTCAACTGAATTTAAAAAGATTTTATTTTAACTGAGTTGTGATTAAATTTCTATGTTCTGCTGGAATTTTGACTGTGTTCTGCAGTTGTATCACTTTGATGGGGTATAATAGAGTTTGATGAAATAATTATGTAAGTTTGGACTTCAATTCAGTTTTGATGTTGCTGATTAAGACTTAGTAAGCCAGAAACACAAAAACTTTTCACTGTGGAAGACTAATAAAGAGCTATCAAAACTGAGTGAATTCTTAATCAGTTTGAGAATGTAAGTATTTTTCTCTTAAGTATAGATTCTTTGACACAAATGCAATCAATTTTCTGTGTTTCATAGCTGTAGTGAAGATGATTGTGTTGTGATGATCAGACAAAGTGTTTAAGTAGTTAAAACTGACAACTCAGTCTTTGATGTGAGATTTTCCACTCATCACAGTGAATTGTCAGGCAAAAATGAAGAGAATAATTAAGTGAAACAAGAGCTTTTTAATGAATATATTTTTATTAAATTTGACTTAGAATTGATAATGTTTCATATTAAGTGCTGTGTCTAGACTATAATAAATAATAATAATAATAATAATAACAATAATAATATTAGATTTTTATAAACTTTATAATTAAAGTTTAAGCTTTAATAGAAAATTTATTGTATGATTATAAGATGTTCAATAGTGATCTGAAGTAGTATAGATAATAAAAATAAAATAAAGTAACTTTAATATATTCTAAGATAATAAATAAAATAAAGTAGAAGTATATAATAATTATGTAACTAAGAGTCTATAATATTACATCTGATCTGTCTTTCATAAACAAAACAGCTCTACTTATAGATGAACATACTATAACTGAGACTATGAGAAAAACATATGAAAAACCTCTAGCAAATCTTCACCAGTCCAATAGTCAAAGATAATGAAATCAGTACCATGGCCAGGAAGAGGAGGTGGTGAACCTACGGTTCTCCAGTTCTTCCTTCAGAGACCTGGTCACCTGACAAGTCACCTGACTCCTGCTCAACAACTAGATACCTCGTGGTTACGGCATGAGATCCTTCCAACCCTATGAAAGAGTCTGAGCAACCGAGGCAAGCGTTTTCCTCCATTATTAAATCTGCATGGAGGCTTACTCTGTCTCTCACCCACTCGTCAGTCTAAAGTGAGTTTCATGGAAGATTCGCCAGTATGAATACCTCCCGTATATACAAACAACATCAACAAATTGATATTATTGCCGCAAGAAGGGCGAATGATCAGCGACTTGCGTCGTGTTTAGAATCGATATATCAAAAATACGGGAAAGACTTTGACGGTGTCGGCGACGAAATTGATCTTATAAACCGACAGCTTGTCATTGACAATGGCCATCTCGAGAGTCTTGAAAGTCACGAAGAAATTGGTGGAGAATCAAATGTGAATAATGCACGTGAAAAAAGTTACATTCAACAAACATCTACAGTCCATGCTTCACTCAAGCCTCATTCCAGATCGCATTCTGGCTCCGACTCAGATGATCCTTTACAAGTGATTCATTCAGAAGTGCGCATTTTACCCCTCACTTCAGCTCTTCGTGCAAAAGTTCCAAAGAAGAACAACAGTGACCCTCAAGCTTCCCCAATAGAGAGACCTTTGAGCCAACAGGTGATTCTGTCTGACAGCTATGATATGAATTTTTTTTTTCAGCAGCCTTCACTGCCTCATGCTTCAAATCACCCCCAGGAAACAATGGAAAGGCCTTTTGAACTAGGGCTTATGAAATCAATACCTCAGTTCATAACCGATCGATTGACACAATATGAGTGTGAACGGCAACTTACTCCAACAGAAATGAATTATTTGGTCGATTTAAGAATGAACAGGAAAATGCCTTGGCATGGGATATCTTCCGCAATGAAGCAACGGAGCCCGACACAGCTTAAGTATTGGTATTACAAGCATCGTATGAATGACGGAAGAGACCGAATATTCAGCTCGAAAGACCCTAGATCCCCAGCCACCCGACAGTGTTTTCCAGCCTTGAAAACAAAAATCGGGGACAAATGGTTAAAACGCTCCTGGCTGAAGGGGCTAGGTTCCAGAAACATTCCCTTCTATCGTTCCTCTCCCCCTTTACCAGTAGCGTCACCCACAAGTTTAGGTCGCTCAAGAAACATCTTCCAGCCCTCTCATTCCGGTTTTATTCAAAATCAAAAGAAGAGCCGCCTGAGAGTGAGATCCGAAAGCCCTGACCCATTAAGTGACGTGTTCAAATGCATGTAGGGTAGTATTGAGTTTTCAGCAATATCCTGGGTGTGCACATATTAAAGAATGGAATTGGCTATGGCTTTCGCTCAAAATCGATCTAGTATGCAATTGAAGTTTGCTCCATCACGATTTGCCTGCAGTAGGTCTTGAAGCTTCATTTCTACAGCATCTCCGACCTCACCCGCATCTGCCCAGAACCTAGAAAGGTGCCGGGTTCCAGAGTCGCACAATAAGGTCACAATCCGATGCCCAGGGCCTAATTTAAGAGCCATTTTGAGCGCAGCAAAACCTATTCTATCCTGTAAGTACCTCGCATACTCTGTATATTCATCAAAAAGCGACCGGACGCTAAGACTTACAATTTACAGCACTGCTGCTTCCCACAAATATTCCATCTTTTTCTACCAGCCACCTGGCCATGGCTTTGGCTTGAGCATCGTTTACTCTGATAGCATCATCGATCAACTCTCTGCCTGCTTCAAAATTTCCGGTAATTCGGTTAATGCCTATTCCTTCCACGACCGTGTCTATTTGCCGCCGTCGCCTAGCTCCCTCTCGCTCCTTTACATCGAACATGACGCCGAAGCGGATTCTATTGAACAATCCACTACCTTGCGGATCTGCAAGTACAATTTTTACTGTTGGGAGGCGAGGCTTTAGATAAAGAGCAACCCCTGAAATGGTGCCTCCTGTTCCTGCACCTGACACAAATGCATCTAGTGTTCCTTTGCACTGTTCAAAGATCTCGGGACCGGTACTGTGAAAGTGGGCTTGCCAGTTCGCAGGGTTTTCAAACTGATCAGCAAAGAATCCACGGCTACACTTACCTACCTCTATCGATGCTAGTAATTCGCTTTCAGGGTTCACTTCTGTCCCGCGTCCTTTCGTGTTTACGGGAAGAGTTTCCGCCGTCGCACCGTGATACTTTGCAAGATCTCGGGCTCTGTTCACAAAATGGCCTTGTTCTACAATGGGGGCAGGCGGTACTCGTTCTACCACGGCGCCTAGTTTCAAGAGCAAATTTGATTTTTCGGTAGATTGATCGGAAGGCATACAACTTCATGATAACCGAATAAGTAAAGCCCTCGTTATGGCAATCAAGAGCTGAAAACCTACATATGTGCAGAATATCCGCTCGCCCTCGCCAATGTTGCCAAGGATATACCGGTCGATCCCACGGTACCTTCATAAATTACATCCCCAGAATGTGGTGTCAAACGGCCTTGCCTTTCTGCCTATTTTGTCCACCTGCTGTTTAGTTGGTTTTCGCGAGTACGGGATCATATTAACCCGTCCTTACCATTTGTATAATATTTAGGGCGACACGATCTTTCGGGCTGCCCCCGGCACCATTCAAAAACTATGAAGTTTGTAAATAGGTAGATCAATAACCCTATAAAGGAACGGCTCCGTGGATTATAGGTACCTCGGCTTTTCCAAGTATTTCACATCCCGTTGCTTCGGACAAAGACTTGATACGTATTAGAGGAGTATTGCCTATGCAACCCTCAATGCCATCCACAATGGGAGGTGGAGGGTTTCTTCTGGAATGGCCAGATATATCATTGTTTGATGTGTTTGGCTTTGGTTGTTTTATTGAGTTGTTGAAGTATAAACCTCTTAAGCGAAGGGCGAATATAGCGCCAGCTGTGAAGAACCCCACTGGGAGAATGTATCCAGAGTAGGAACATTCTGGCATGTGCCAAAAACTTGTGCTGTCTCCCATGATGACAACTCTAAGAAGGAACTCTGACAGGTACGGAGTACTCTGTAGTGACTAGTTGGTTAAATGAGGGCTGTTTGGCATGTTTGCATATGGATCACATGATAACCATGTGACTGACAGTCTATACCTATATTGCATCTGCTCTGTTCCTAATGAACAAAACAGCTATGTATATGGAGGTCACCGCCAAGAGTTTGGGTCCCACCATAAAATACAGAGCTGTAAAAAATTACAATAGATTATCATCATATAACACATTACATCTCATTATACTTCATATCAATTAATTAACTAAGTTAACATGCTTCTGTACAGAGTATGAGCTCTGTCTCTCTTCTTTTTAAAATTATTATATTAAATTGAAAATTTTATAACTCTTCAATTCTACTGTAAACTAAAATGGATCTTCACTTAGATTATATTCAAAATCATTATTTATGTTTGAATCAAAATTATTTACTTTGTCATTAAAATTAATAAAATACAATAGTTTATCTTTACAAATTCTTTTTTTAGTTTTGTTTAAATTCTTATTAGTACATTCTCATGGCACTTGATATGAAACATCATCAATTTTAGATCAAATTTAATGAAAATATATTCATTGAAAAGCTTTTGTTTCACTTAGTTATTCTCTTCATTTTTGCCTAATAATTCACTGTGGTGGGTGGAAAATCTCACATCAAAGACTAGATTGTCAGTTTTGACTACTCAGACACTTTGTTTGATCATCATAATATAATCATCTCCACTACAGCTCTGAAATGTTGAAAATTGATTGCATTTATGTCAAAGAATCTATATTCAAGAGAAAAATACTTATGTTCTCAAACTGATTAAGAATTCACTCAGTTTTGATGACTCTTTATCAGTTTCTCACAGTGAAAAGTTTTCATGTTTCTGGCTTACTAAATTTCAATCAGCAATATTAAAGCTGAATTGAAGTCTGAACTTATATAATTATTTCATCAAACTCTATTATATTTCATCAAAGTGATACAACTGCAGAACATAGAAATTTAATCACAACTCAGTCAAAATAAGATCTTTTTGAATTCAGTTCAATATTTCTGATTCTCTGATTAATTCTCTATCTTTCTGATATTTTATTGATTTTCTCAGACTCTGATATCCATCCCTGAAAAGTCAAAATCAATTGTCAGTTGAGATCATCAACAGCAAATTCAATTGCAACTCAGCCAAAACAAGATTTTTTTAAATTCAGTTTAATATTTCTGATTCTCTGATCAATTCTCTATCTTTCTGATATTTTATTGATTTTCTCAGACTCTGATATCCATCCCTGAAAAGTCAAAATCAATTGTCAGTTGAGATCATCAACAGCAAATTCAATTGCAACTCAGCCAAAACAAGATTTTTTTAAATTCAGTTTAATATTTCTGATTCTCTGATCAATTCTCTATCTTTCTGATATTTTATTGATTTTCTCAGACTCTGATATCCATCCCTGAAAAGTCAAAATCAATTGTCAGTTGAGATCATCAACAGCAAATTCAATTGCAACTCAGCCAAAACAAGATTTTTTTAAATTCAGTTTAATATTTCTGATTCTCTAATCAATTGTCTATTTCTCTGAAATTCTATTAATTTTCTCCAGCTCTGATTTTCACTTCTGAAAAGTCAAAATCATTTGTCAGTTGAGGTCAGCAGAGATAAATTCAATCACAACTCAGTCAACACAGAATCTTTTTAAAATCAGATTAATGTTTCTAATTCTCTGATCAATTCTCTACTTCTCTGATATTCTATCAATTTTCTCTGATCCTGATTTTAACTTCCAAAAAGTCAAATCCATTTGTCAGTTGGGGCCAGCAAGAATAAATTCAATCATAACTTAAACAAAACAACTTTTTCTCTCTTTCTTATTTGTTTCAGGGACATAGACTCTCTCAGTCACTGATCTCTGCATTCATCAGCTAGTGATGGTTAAAATTGCTCTTTTATTATTATTATTATTATTATTATTATTCATTATAGTGTTGTGCAGTCTTGAGACTATGAAGACTACCTGCAAGCTGTCTTGCAGAATTTAACTAAGTTACAAAAACAATGATCAGAGACATGATCATAGACAAATTAACAAATAGAAAACATACAAGAGTGTCAGGGCAATGATTTATGTCTTTTCTCCACAGAACTCAGCACTTGATATAGAACATCATCAATTCTAAGTCAAATTTAATGAAAATATATTCATTGAAAAGCTCTTGTTTCATTTAGTTATTCTTTCCATTTTTGCCAAGCAATTGACTGTGGTGGGTGGGAAATCTCACATCAAAGACTGGGTCATCAGTTTTGGCTACTCAGACACTTTGCCTGATCACCACAACACAATCATCTCCACTACAGCTCTGAAATGTTGGAAATTGATTTCTTTTGTGTTAAAGAATCTATACTCAAGAGGAAAATACTTGCATTCTCAAACTGATTAAGAATTCACTCAGTTTTGGTGGCTCTCCATCAGTCTTCCACAGTGAAAAGTTTTTGTGTTTCTGGCTTACTAAGTCTTAACCAGCAACATCAAAGCTGAATTGGAGTCTGAACTTACATAATTATTCCACCAAACTTTATTATACTCCATCAAAGTGGTACAACTGCAGAACACAGCCAAAATTCCAGCAGAACATAGAAATTTAATCACAACTCAGCCAAAACAAAATTTTTTTAAATTCAGTTAAATATCTCTGATTCTCTGATCAATTCTCTACCTCTCTGATATTCTATTGATTTTCTCTGGCCCTGCTTTTCACTTCTGAAAAGTCAAAACCATTTGCCAGTTGGGGTCAGCAAAGATAAATTCAACCACAACTCAGTCAAAACAAGATCTCTTCAAAATTGATTTGATATCTCTGATTCTCTGATCAATTCTCTACCTCTCTGATATCTTATTGATTTTCTCCAGCCCTGATTTTCACTTCCAAAAAGTCAAAACCATTTGCCAGTTGGAGTCAGCAAAGATAAATTCAATCACAACTTAAACAACAAAACTCTTCTCTCTTTCTTATTTGTCCCAAAGACATAGACTCTCCCAGTCACTGATCCCTGCATCCATCAGCTAGTGATGGTTAAAATTGCTCTTTTATAGTTAGAATAATCATACTAGACTTGTTGATTTTCTAGCAAAGAAGAAGGCTTTTTACTTGCATATCATAACAGTTATTATTATTATTATTATTATTTATTATAGTCTTGTGCAGTCTGAGACTATGAAGACTACCTGCAAGCTGTCTTGCAGGATTTAACTAAGTTACAAAAACAATGATCAGAGACATGATCATAGATAAATTAATAAATGAAAAACATACAAGAGTGTCAGAGCAGTGACTTATGTCTTTTCTTCACAGAAATTTGAAAATAAATAATGAGATTGTAAGTGAGATCTTTAAAGATACTCAGTCTGTTTCATTCAGAAGTCATCTTCTGGTGACTATTTCAGTTTGTTTAAGAAACTTTCCCATCCATTTCAAATTTAATTCAGTGTTAAATAGAAACTCAAGTGACAGTTGTGAAATTTTAAACTCTTTCAAACACTGTTGTCTGTCATTCTTCAGACTTAAACAATTCATGAGCAAATGTTTTGATGTTTCTTTGCAGCCACAGTGTCTGCAGGTTTCTCTATCATGATTTGATAGTCTTATTAAGTAAGAACCAAAGTAACCATGACCCAATTTCAACTGAATGATTGTTGACCAAATCTGTTTGGGGAATGAAAGTGAACAAGCTTTCCACTTTGGTTTTGAATTGAATTGAGAGTAGTGATTTACATCACTTTCATTTTCAAAGATGTGTTCCAGTCATTCAAGCATTGCCATTTCTTTAATTTGTCTCTTGATGTAAGCAAAGAAAACATACTTTTCAGCACAATCTTGTCTCAATTCAGTTGCTTTCTTTGCAGCAATATCAGCTTCTTCATTGCCAAAAATGTTTATGTGAGCTGAAACTCAGTGAAGATGACACTTAATGTCTTTAGACTTAAGTTGTTTAGCAATTTTTCTAATTGATTCAATGTAGAACAGTTCAGCTTTCATATTCTGTGCATTGAGTCTCTGAATGACAGCTTGACTGTCAGAAAACATCCATAGTTCTGAAAAGATTCTTGAATTTGAAAGAGTCAAAGCATTGAAGAAAGCCTTTTCAATTGCAAAGAGTTCAGCATCAAACACTTTAATATATTTACTCAATCTCCAAAAATATCTTTGATTTATTTCTGAAATATAAAGATCTGCATCAGTAGTCAGATTTTCTGACTGTGAATCATCTGAATACATGGTCAAAGAGTCTTTTAAATTGAGAAGAAGTTGTTGATGATTTTTCTTTGCAAGTATCTTCTCTACTGAATCAATTTAAATGTCAATGAGTTCATTCAAACTTAAATTCCAAGATTTATTCCATTCTGGATTTACTGTTTCAATCTTCAGAGAAGTAATCTGATCTGAGATCATAGAACAAAGTTTGAACAAGTGACTTGAATATTTTTTAATTCTTTTTGTTCTTTTTCTCTTTCTTTTTTTAGATGTTTGTTCAACATGATTCAGAGACAGTTAGTTCATTTTGATTCCAGTCCAGAAACTTTCTCCAATCTAACTCAATTTCATTTAAATGTGAAGAAAAACTTGAAGAAACTCTTGTTCT